ACTGTGAACAGATAACAGAATGAGCATCACCAAACACATATCCAACAAAGGACAACGACAAAGAACGTGAGAAACACTTGGGTCCTAGCCAGCACAGTCATGTGGGGCCCACATGGGTTTGACCTGGGCTATCTAACTGGGACCCAGACAGTTTTGCTCCTGGTTTCCATGTGTGTATTTATATATGTAAAATAATTATACACATTGCACCCACATATTTTATGTAAACACAAACTTTTATTTTGGATGCGATTAATCGTTTGACAGCCCTAATATATATATATTAAGTCACATAATTTCAATTCACATAACCACTAAAAAAATATTTCGAGTCATGTATTTTTGGCTCAAGAGTTGGCCAGAGCTGGTTTAATGCGTAGCTAGAGGCTGCATCCTGAATAGCCAGATTACACTCTAAACTGTTCAAATATTTGGTGTTAACATACGTAAATAATGTAATGAAATAGCCTAAAAAATTATTATAATGATAAAACATAGGCACATATATAGCCTATATTCAAATGTTAATCGTACCTTGATGCTATTTTGTAGGGTATTCTTTATATTGTCTACAGAAAGGGACCATGGTGAATATATTTATACAGGCTGTCAATCCTATTTGAATATTTTAAACCAGATGGATATAAAAAGTCCAGTGCAAACGTCCTTACTCCTGCTCATAGCTGTCAGTCACAGTTGCTAGGCGACAAGAACAATCCTCCGCAGGCTAGACTGGTCAGAGCGCTTCAGGTGTGCACTTTGACATGGGACGCAGTTGTAGTTAGCAACAATTTGTTAATATTGTGACAATAGACCAACATTGTTACTTTAATTTTTAAAATAACCAGTAGGACACGTATTTGACACATAAAAGTCTTGTTCCGTATTGAACTAATATTGAACGCACTTTGTTCCGTATTTTTGAGAATCAGTTCATGCATATCCATGACAGACACATACCTTCTAATATAAATGTCAGACAGACATGAATAATCGAAGACCTGTAATAATGGAAAATTTGGGGACTTGGCGCCCCCTTGGCGGGCTCTGATGTGTAATAACGTAGAGTTGTCTCATTGGTCGCACGTCAGAGGCGCCAGCGTCATTGGATGTGCAGTTGCGGGCCGGCATAGATATGCAACATAGATACACGGCTGTGCCGCTGCAAATGCGTTTTACATATAGGCTTCAGTAAATCGAGGAAAAGAAGTTTCCGAAGACATTTGTAGGCTATAAGAAAAACTACTATATTAAAAATATTATTTTTTTGCACTTGAAAGATTCTAGAAGTCTAAAATCTATTGAATAAGTTCACACAACACCTTGAATAAAACACCTTGTATAAAAATAAACTGTTTATTTATCTTAAAAGCAGTCTAAGCCGATGAGTTTTGAGTGTTATACGTTGTATTTGTTGAAACTAAAAATAAAACGTATTATAAACTAAACAAATTCATGGTTCATGGTTGGCAAAATGATCATGATAGCCTTTATATATATATAACCTATGTAGTACAGTCATTAATTAGGCATACTTTGCTATCCTATATACAGGCCTAATAAGTTGCATTATAATATGCGATAATGTATGAATTTCAGGGGTCATTTCTTCCGTGTAACGGAATTTCAGGTGTCATTTTCTCCACTTTCACCCCCCCCCCCCCCCTTTCATGCTGATTTCTCTGGCTTTTTGAGTAAATGATAACATAATACTTTTACATTTATATGTGAATTTGCCGTCCATCACCGAACTCTCAGCCACCCTTTTTTAAAATAAAAATGCTGTCGTCACCCACGCAATGATTTATGGGGTAGGATCGGGTAGGATAGGCAGCGAAGTGTCCATTTACGTATCCTTCCTTTCACAGGGAAACGAAGGGTGCATTTGGCTTCGCTTTTGAATCAGGGAAGCCTTCGTCACGCTGCAATGACGTAACTGGCCTGTGAATACGGCCTTCGGAGGATGCATAACTGAATTGGGACAGCCTTCATCCCACCGCGATGGCCTTCAATCGGCCTTCAAATGCGACCTTCGGAGGGTGCAGCCTTTGAATTGGGACGTCCTTCGTCGCGCTGCTGTGACGCAATCGGCCTTCAAATATGGCCAAGCGTCCTTGGGACACAGCTATTGTTTGCTTTAGTTGGACTCTTGACCCATATATTGTTAACTTTGACTTTGTTTGGCTGTTGTTTCTGACTTATAACTGCCAGGTGAACAAAGAAAAAAAAAGTTACCAGTATGTAATGGTGTTGGTTATATTATGACAGTCATCATTGGAACTTTATGTTTGTGATTTATGCTGTTGGTTACAGAATAACTGTGATTCTGCATAAATATCCAGAATTATGGATGTAATATAAAGGATTTCTTAAAATTTGTTTAAAAGGAAGATAATTCTTTCAGGCACACACAGACCTCTAGATTCAGTCAATCCATCTCAACAATGGTGACGAGCAGAATAATCAATTAGGAAAAGTAAATTACATAGACAATTCAGATCATAATTTATTCAAACCGCAATGCATGATGGGAGCCATCAATGAGTTAGGATTGGTGGCAGCCACTGCAAAATGCATTATTATTGTCACCATTGTTGAGATCCACAGGCTAATTATTGATGTCTGTGTTTCTAAATAAAGTAATTTGAAAGTGTTTTGATCAGAACAATGTTTGTGAAATATTTTGGATTAAAAAAACTTACAATCATATGCTTTAGAATCACAAAGCTGTTGCTAATAAGTTAAACCAGATAATCCCAATAAGTTTCATTAATCAGATCACAGTATGATCATGCCAAAACACAACCAACACTATCAGATCAAACTTTTCTTTGCTCATATGACTGTTATAAATCAATAACAGCAAACAAACATAATCTGAAGTTAATAATATAAGGGTCAAGACCCCAACTAAAGCAAACACTGATCTCCTTCAGTGATTCTCCTTGTTAACATCAGCAGGTGTTCTTCAATAATGCTCAATCATTATTCAATCACTTAATTATCTCATTAACTTTAACACTGATATGTGTTACATTTAACAGCCTGTAGTGTGCACACTGAGCAGTGTTCATTTCATCTGGGCAAACCCATGTGGGGCCTACATGGAAACCGGGAGCAAAACTGGCTGGGTCCCAGTTAGATGGCCCAGGTCAAACCCATGTCGGCCCCACGACGCATGCGCGAGAATTGCGATCTCCTTCAACTACTTCAGTTCAGTTATCGCGCATGCGTCGTGGAAATCTATGGAAGTCTCGTTTCAGACCAACAAGGAAGAAAAGGAATAGTCGAATAAAGTCGTTATTTTTGTTTGTTTTTTCGCACAAAAAGTATTCTCGTCGCTTAATAAACTTATAGTTGAGCCACTGTTGTCACATGGAATATTTACACATTTTCTTCTTTGACTTTCTGGGCCGTCAAGAGCCAGTCCCTTAGGCAGCCAATGTGGTAGTGAGACAGCTCTCAAATTTAATCAAAAATATCTTTATTTGTGTTCCGAAGATGAACGAAGGTCTTACGGGGTTGGTACAGCATGGTAATTAATGACTTCATTTTCATTTTTGGGTGAACTAACCCTTTAATTCATGCTTAACTAATGCACAGATAATCATGAGTTAACGTATAACTAATGAAGAACTAAACCATTAATCAATTATTACTGCATCAGCATCTAATAAAGAGTCTATATGATAAATAGATTAAGTAATACATGAATTGCTATTAATTCAATGTGTCATTGTGTGTTAATTCCTTAACAACATATTTTATTAACTAATAGTGTAAATTAATGTGTTAATTACCATAATTAGTCAAAGCTATGCACTTAAACTTCCAGTTGTCTGCTTTAATTAATCATTAGCTTCTGATTTGCAAAGGTATCATTATGTTTTGACTTTACTTGTTGGTGCACATCATTATTAACTAGTAATTTAGTAATTTTAGTAATTTGCACATGAATTTGCACTAACAATGAAGTAATTAATCATGTATAATGCATATTAGTGTACCTGTCATATTATCTGGAAGTTGAAATACAAGGCTTTGGCTCATTCTGGTAATTAACATATTAATTAACACTATTAGTTAAAAAAATTAGTTATTATGGAATTAATCCACAATTACATATTTAATTAATAAAAATTAATGTATTAACTAATACATTAACCCTACACACTCTTAATTGGTTCCTAATGTGGTAATCATTAATGAATAGCTTAGATAATCATTAGTTACACAATAATTCAGTATTATCTGTCCATTAGTTAAGCTTATTAGTGCACCTATATTGTAAAGTGTTACCGAAAAATGTTCTAAAATAGGTCATTCATTGAAGGTGCGCCTTATAATCCGATGCGCTTTAGTGCGGAAAATGATCAATGTCAAATGATGGCTGGATGATTTTAAAATGTCAACAGTGATTACGTCTCAAGCCAAGTGATTTTATCTGTATATTCGCTGTCTGTGTCAATTCAAAGCAGAAAATCAATGGCTTAAAGCCACCAGTGAGGGGGAAAAAACTGGAAGGAAAAACCTTGACAGGCATCTGTCCATAATGTCTAAATATTATCTAGTTAGCTAGTGAGTCCATTTAATATTGTGAAATATTATAAAATATTGTGCAAACTTTCAATAAAGGGGTATGATGCAACAATTGTACAATTGCAAAAATGTAAAATTGTTAAACCAGTCCAGACTGTCGGATTTAAAGCGGATCTGTGGATCCTCTGATAAAAGAAAGCATGACTCATTTTAAGGGTTATTGCCGTCATGACGCAAGCTAGTAATTATTTTGTGAAAAATGAGAGTTGTCTATAATAGAGTGAAGAAAAATGGACTAGGTGTGTATTTGAAAGTCGTATAAACAACATGTGTTGTAAAAGAGTAAAGTGAGCTACCCAATGAGATCATTTCTGGGAATGCCTGTGTTTGCCAATGAGGCATTCAGAGATTGCTGGACCAATTTAATGCTCGTTTTCCAAGAACTTCGACTGACCTGAGGGTCAAAGGTGGCTTAGAAAGTTTGAGACTCCTATAAGAAGGCCTTTATTCTGTCTAGGAGTGGATTTTGACTCTTGCCGGCACACAGAAGAGATAAGTAAGTAAATATTTTTTTTTCTTTTTGTTGGTTCCGGTCTTCTGTAACTTAAGCCTGCTTTGAGCTAAAATGACAAATGGGTGTTTTAAAGTTTGTAGAAATTAAGACACGTTACTATTAATGCCATTACATCATTGGATGAGAGAACGCTCTCAAAGCAGCTGTTTAATATTAATGACCCGATAAGTACTTTTCAATGCTTTCGAGAGAAAATCTGTTGTTGGTTGGTTTGGTCAGCAAAGTTAAGAATGAAATTGATATGGATCACCCATCCATTTTATTAGTTCATTGTTTTATTTATTTTTTACCATTGTGCTCTGTATTGTGCTTTTTATTTCATTGTAAAAAGCACATTGTTTTAACCTGGGATGTATTTAATGGTGCTATTTGATCAAAATTGCCATTGCCAATCGCTTTCCTATGCAAGTTAAGAGTTCAGTGTTGATCAATATTGGAGTCAGCCAATATGGGTCGTCATCCCTACATAGCCCGTTCTGTCCTCAGACTTTTCTTTGATGCTAACAAACACACGCACACACACACACACACACAAAACAGTTATGTAGTAAAGCCTGTGATTTAGGCCGGGTACATTTACACGACAACGGTGTATTAAAAATGAATTTCATGTTTTTATAAAAATATAAATAAATGAATAAATAAAAATATAAATTCATGTTTTTATAGTTTACACACTGAGACGGTAACGGTATAATTTCCAAAAACGTTCACCCTGATGCCGTTCTCAAAGGTTTGTGCTTTCAGGCTCCCAAAACGGCATTGGCTACAGCACATATGAACTTTTCTGGTTTTTGTTGAAACCGGTGTCTTGTAAACGCGCTGTGAAAAACTGACTGGTGGAGATTGTTATATATTTGCGTTAGCTGGTTGCTTTTATTGAGCAAGGTATGTTGTGCACATATATAAAATGTACTCTTGCACATGACTGGATCATATGGGCATGAACACTCAAAAGGGTCTTAGGTTAAACACCTGATGATGCTGTTTCAAGATAACAGTCGGAAAACTAGTCCAACAATCATCACTGATGTATTATAAAGCTGTTTTTCAGTGGAGATAGGTACATTTTCTTTATATTCTGCTCCTATTATTAGTGGAGTTCCACAGGGCTCTATTCTGGGTCCTCTTCAACTTTATGTGCGTCCATTGGAGGAAATTATTAGGAAGCACAATGTTTTGTTTCATTTTTATGCAGATGATTTACAGTACCTGCCACTAAAAGCAGGTGATTCCATTCAACCTTTGCTGAATTGCCTTGGGGACATTAAGAAATGGTTAATGCTTAACTTAATGAGGACAAACAGAAATAATTGTTTTTGGTTCCCCAAAATTGACGAGTATAGGGGAGCTAAGCAATTATTTTTCCTCTGTTTCCTCCCAGGTTAGGAACCTTGGCGTTATTATGGACTCTTGGGCATCACTAAACAAATTAATTCTGTTGTAAGGAATTTCAGACATTAAATTGTTTCTGTCAGCACAAGACTTGGAGAAGGTTAACCTCACGCTTAGACTATTGTGATTCCTTGTATCTGGGTCTTCCTCAGTCATCATTTGGTCATCTGCAGTTGGTACAAAATGCAAGGCTGCTTTGATCATGTCACCCCTATTTTAGAGTCCCTTCATTGGCTCCCGATCCATTTTAGAATTAAGTTTAAAATCTTGTTGTTAGTTCTTAATGATCAAGCTCCAGTTTACCTTTGCCTCCTTCCAGATTAAGATCTGCAGACAGGACTATATCATGTAAAAAAAGATTAGTTGACTCAATAAACTTAACTTAGTCAAAGCAACAAGATGACTTGACTTACAGTAGTTAAGTTGAGTCAACTAATCTTTTTACAGTGCACGCTCTCGTTTAAAAACTAAGGGTTGTCGCCCCCCGCCTATGGAATCAATTGCGGATGCCTCTACATCTGCCTTGCACCATCCATTTACATTTTTATGTCAAAATTGAAAACCTATCTCTTTTCCCTGGCGTTTTGATACTCAAATTCCTTTTTTATTATTTCTTTTGTTTGATTTTATGTTTCTGTGTTGTTATTTATTTATTTTTATTTTTTATTCATTACTATTTAGAGCACTTTGGATAGCTCTGCTATGTTTAAATGTGCTTTATAAATAAACTTACTTACTTACTGAGTCTCTGGAAATCCAGTTCAAGGTTTTGATTTTCCACATTTTGGTAGGAGGAGGGTCCCTAAAATTGGTGCTTAATTGGTTGTCCCGTAACTATATAATCAGTTTATCATTGAAGTATCTCACTGTAACAGATATAGTCTTATTTAAACAGATATGACAGATAGACATCAGCTATAGTAGATAAAAGGCAATCGTGTCAATGGGATTAGATCGTGTTGATACCATGATAGCAGGACCTGTTGATATCAACAAACATTTGATCTCTTTTGATATCTTTTGGCATCGAGTGTGGTGATGATGATGGATATATATATATATATATATATTTTTACGTGCAGCCATTAGTGAGACGATCAGAACTCAAGTGAGAATATGCCATTCACTTTCTACATCTAAACTGAGATTTAAGGAAATTAATAGGAATGCACGATATAACGGTCACCATTTCGGTATCGATATATGTTCATTTGTAAATTTATAGTTATCGGCCCGATAAGATAATTTGCCCGATATATTAAAGCCGATAAACAAAGTGTCATTTCCTTCAGCTGAGACATTTCAGATGCGCACTGTTTAACATTAAATTGCTTGAAATATGATTGAAATCACTTCAAAATAGATATATCGGCCAATATATTGGTTATCGGCTTTCAAATATAAAGTATTTACTTCATGTTTGTCAGCTTTGAAGTCTTCTATGTGCTGGTTAAGCCTAAAATATAAAAAATATATATATAGGCTAGAAGACATCCAAGCTTTTAAAATGTGCAGGGCCAAAATATTGAGATCTTGCTCTTGGACATACACACATTTTTGTCCAAAATATACGGCAAAGGAGACTATGTTCTCAAACCTTTTAGGATCTTTAAGATATTTTTGCTAAAATATTCTCAGTTCATATTTTAGTCATCTAAAATAGCAAACACATTGTTACAATTTATTTTTGGTCTCCGTTGTAATATTGTCAATACTGGTTTATGTCAAAAAACATAATATTGTACGTTTGATGTGCTCACATACCGCGGGACAATAAGGGTTCTGCTTCACTGGAACAGAGATTACGAGAAAGCCGAAAAGGCAGAGAACCAGCATGTCAACACTTGGCCTAACCTTTCAAGGAAGGTTTAAAGTCCCACTGAAGTCAATATTTTTATCCCTTAAAACTCAACCAAAACGACATATATATAAATAATAAAAAAATAAAAAATCCCATTCCTCATGCCTTAAAATATCTTGAATTTAACTCGACACCCTCACCTCATTTAATATGCGCGGTGCTATGAATATGCAAATTAGCCCCGCCCCAGTTGACGATCACACGTTGATCTGACAAGGTCGTTTGTGACGTCCGAAACACCAGCGATTTCAACCTGTGTTTTTGAGACTGTCTTATATTAAAACCACCACATATACTACAAATAGACATATAAACAACATTACGAGCTGGATTTTCACCTCAGATGCTCTTCTTCTCTCCCGATGCTTCGAGATGTTTTCGTTTTGGTAAAAATAGTGAGGATCAGCAAAGGAATCAGCTTTTTAACGAAAAAGCCTTGTTTAGAAACTAACTATAATATCTACAAAATGCAGTAAAATGAAAGTAACCACTTTATACACAATTCATTCAGCTAATGTTTCAGGCTCATAAATACATATTGGCTGAGATAAACTGAGTGTCTGAATTACCAAGTTAAATTAAACTGGCGTTGGTGTCTATTGGCATTGCATATTCATAGATGTGACAGAATAGGTCAAGTTGATTGGTAGAAATCATGTTCTAAACAATCCTAGAGCCAGTTTCACTGGGTTCACAAGACAAGGACAGCAGACTGACTTCTCAAAGTAGGCTACCTTAAAATGAAACATCCCAGCTTAAAAAGCCTTAGACTTTTGATTGATCTATACTATTAGTCTGAATTACCATGATTGATCTGTACTATAGTTAGTTACTATAAAACTTTTTTTAAGTGGCTGCACATGATGGTTGTTTGTTCATATTCTCTAAATTCATAAAACCAGACCTACTTCTGAATGTTATATTGCAGCTCTCTAGCAAATTTCGTCATATGAGAAGTCATATTTTACTGTGCACAGAAGTCATTACTCAGTTTATGGACAGTAGCGAACGCAATCAAATCAGGCGAACTACTATAACAACTCAAAAAAACAGTCACATGGCCTAAAAGCTTTTCAAAATTGATCAGTCACAACCTTATGAGAGTCAAATTCAGCAGGTAACGCACAATTTAGACTTCTATCCAACTAATCATCCAAAGTTAATAAAATGATTTGTAATGTAAATAAACATATTTATGATTATTCATAATGAAAATGATTGTAAATGTTAAGGTGCTTTACTATACGTGTCAAATATCCCTATTCTATGGACAATATATTTTTAAGCACATTTGAGGTCTAAATAGATATTTCCTTGAATATTGATTATAGAATCAGGTCAGATTGTCCAGAGCGAGAGAGACACCTGGAGACCAACCGAAGAAACACCACAAACTTTTTGATTAGAATTATTATTCAGACGTATTCTCCAGTACACACAGTGTTATCTGAAATTATACATTTAATTTTGATATATCCAAATTATTATCCACCAAACAGTCACATACTGTTAGGTCTGTATGTTAACACAAACACAGTTTGACCATTTAAGCAAAAAAAGAAAAAAAAAAGAAAATCTTTTTAGGGGAAACATGAAGAAATAATAATTTACCAAAAAAAATGAAAATGATTAGATTGAAAAACATTCGCTAGTCGTCAACATTCGGTCACATCAGGGTCCCTCCGGTTGGTTTAATACCTGTAAGAGAATAAAGAACGCTTAAGAGATATTTATGAATGGATTGTGTATGGGATAGTATTTCTCTTCACCTTTTTGAAGAGCTTAAAGCCAAAGTAGTTTGTTGCCATGTTCCTAAACTGAGTTCCACCGCCTACTTTACATCTCACATATCCGTACAGGTTAGCCCACTGCAACACTACTCCCATTATCACAACCGCCTGCTCACACACACAGAGACACACAAACACACACGTCAGGTTAGAAGGTTACAGGTTTTTCACAGTAAAAAAAAAAACAACTTTTAAAACTCACCAACCACTTGATGTTGAAGGACAAAAGAGAGCTGAACACAAAGAAGCCCCAAAACACCGGACACACGATCAGACCGAACCAGAAAATTCGGGATTCAGAGTTTGAGACCACCTTTTTACTGGCTTCCTATGGGAAAATACATCAAACGGGAATTAGAGCAATAGTTCACTCAAAAATAAAATTCTCTCAGTGTTCATTCTCCCATTATGCGTTTCAAATGTGTGTTTGTTTTGATGGCCCACTTTAGACATTTTATAAACCAGAAGTAACGCTGCAACTACTCATTAGTAGATAATAGACTGTTTGGGTTAGGAGAATAAGTTGGCGTAGTCGAATGTCTAAAGTGGACCATCGAAATAAAAGTATACCAAATTATTAGGTTTTTTTAGCTTAAGTTAATTTTTAGCATAAAACAATGGTTTGCAATGACAAGCTTACTCAATAAATGCATGATCAGCATGTTTTAATGTGCAGATTGGGGAATAATGTTTGAGATTTTTACTGTTTTATAGTTGGCAGTAAATATGTTTCACACATAATGTGACTTCAGAACACTTTAATGGTGTTGTTTTATTCTTTATGGTGCTTGACAAACCTGAACAGGTTTCCTTTAGTGTTTCATAGAGCAAAGAGAGTTTTTATATGAATTATCTGTACTTTTAATATTCGAACACTGTGACTCAATTCCTCTCTTTAAAATAGTTACACAACTGAATTGTTGTGCGTCCACTAACAGTGACAAAACATGACCATTAAACTTTGATCGAGCGGCGACAGCTATATATTAAAGTTGTACATTACCTCAGAATTGTTAGTGACAATCATAAACTTGATTTTTATTATATGGTTGCCTTACAGAGTTGCAAAAATGCTTAATTTCTTGCAGTATTGTAAAGTTGTGTGTGGCGAGACTCACCGATCTTGATTCAAACATCCATTGACTGCGACCGTCTTCATCAACCTGATTCCACCATCTCAAGCCCACCAACAACCGTCCCGTCACGTTCTCAAATAAAAACACACACACAAACACATAGAGAAGAACAGGTTTATTATGCATTCTTGAAGTCTCATCACAACCCATTTTTCTTCTATAAACTGGTGTGTTTCAATGGGGCTTTTATTTTGACAGGCTAATTGTCTCCGCCCATTCCGACACGATGATGTCAGCAAAAATGGAAAATTGATTCAAAGACAGAGCAAGTAATTTTAATGAAAGATTCACAAAGACTAGCACTTTTTAAATTTGGAACAACATGGATATTAAGACCAGGAACATGGTGCGCTTCGGTCATTTTTGACCGGAAAATTTAACTTTTTTTTTTTTTTTTTTTTTTGGAAAAAAATATCATGGACATGATTCGAACAGGTTAAATGGTCCTGAAAAAAAAAGACATTGTGTGCTCTTCATGGTCAAAAACCATGTACCATCTACATTAAAGTACCTTTGGTGCTGCAGGAAAACAAAATCTGACTGAAAGCTCATGTTTTTAGATATAAAGCTCAAATTTTGAACAACTTGTTTAGATTCATGGCTTTGATTTTCTCACAGTTTTAGATTAAAACATTTTTGATTTATATATATTTTTGCAATTTTTTCATAACAATATACGTAAAAATTCTGTTACTTTTTTAAGTTAACTTTTTAAAACTTGTCTCACTTCATCAATAATCTGCCAAGTGTCGTCTCTGAAAAGAGATCAGACCTCAGTCTGTTGCTCTAAGCATTCAAGATTTACCACAGCTTTGGACATTTAATTTTCAGGTCTATGCTCAAAAAGTGAATACATGGATTATAAATACAGTGGAAATATTAAATTTAGTACCATAAAATCCCCTAAAAATACTAAATATTCAATAAAAAACATTATCAAACTAAAATATAGAACATTCATTTCCAAGTTATTTTGATGAAAGATTAACGAAGACTAATTTAAATTTGAAACAACATGCATAAAAAGATCAGGAACAGTAAGAAAGTTATACGCTAAGGAAGTGAACGTTTTTTTTTTTTTGTGTGTGTGTTGATTCCACATGCTCACCTTTACTGTCCAGAAGTCACATGACAGAAGTAAAATGATGGTGACCATGTTGGCAATAAAACTTCGGCTGAGAAACTCACAAAAGAGGTAGATCATGACTGCACTCGTGCGGAAGAACAGGTGAAAGAAACAGGCCAGAGGGTGTCTAGGAAAAACAACATATTATTATTTATGGGAAAACTCACTGCTCTGTGTACTATAGATAATCACAGTTTTAAATGTCACTTTAAAATCCCACTTGATATTTGATTTCTTCTGCCTAAATGTAGATTCATCCTCATGAAATGATGGCACTTCACCCAGAGAGTCCTTCAAAACAAACGACAATAGTTCAGTTTTTAGCACTTTTACATATTTTAAGAGTCTCTGAATAAAAAGTAATGCACTTAAACTTGACAGCACATGCATACGACCATATTTAAGCATCGAGGGCTCTAAAAGATTTATTTAAAAGAAAAATAAGTGACAACTCACCTGTCTCATGTTGGCGAAGGTAGTGTTATTTCCTGCTGACGTGTATGTAAACACTCGTGTCCACACCACACAAACTCTATGAGAAGCAAAAGTTACTAATATTTCATTTGAGCTGTACTTCCTATAGGAGGCGCTTTGTGGCTCAAATAATGATTCCTCAAATGAATCACAGGCTCTCACGAACCTTATTTCAGATATTTTATGGTAGCCTACAAAGTATATTTACTTAAATTGATTATATAAAAAGATTGTTACATGTAATAAAAAAAAATAATAATAATAATTTCAAAAATATTATTTCAAGTAATCAGAAACGATTGTGATTGGTCGATTATCTGACTAGCGGTTAGAAAAACACTTTACATCACGTGACAACGCCTGCATTTTCAGCACCGGTTCCTGAACGTAAGGTTTTTTATTTAACTAAAACAGATACAATAAAGGTGCTGAAACTTAAGTAAAAGGTCCACAAAGTCCAAGATGAAAAGAGTTTTGTTTATCTTGGTATCAGCTGTTTAAAATCAACATTCCCTTTTAATCAAGTCCAATTTATTTGTATTGTGTGCTTTTCACATTGTTTCAAATCAGCTTTACAGAAAATCATGATGTTAAAGTTTATAATATCATAATATTTCCATGCTTTATAAGTTTCACTTGAGCTGGGTGATAGTGATAAGTTTACATTTTGCTAAGCAAGCAATCAAGCCTTTAAGATATGATACACTTGTACACTAGGGCAATTTTCACAATGCGGATAAGTTGGACATACTTATATAATATAATATTATTTAAAATTTCTAGTTGGCTAATTAATTTAAGGTAGCTATTAATTCATTATGTTGATGAGAATTCTGTAACTTGAGGTTTAGTTCAGTTTTATAACAATTTGGTGTACTGTAAGTAACTGATGTATGGCAGGGTTAAAAAAAAAATCGATTATCGCCCATCCCTCTATTTCTGATTATAACGCCTACATCCGTGTAACAGAGGAGCTTTAGTGCTGAAAAGCAAAATAAGAGAGGGGGAGAAAATGTTTTTATTTAGCCTATACATGTCCCAGGTAGTACTAGGGGACTTGGAGAACGAATCGTATGCTTATCCTGCAAGGTGCTGTATGTTTTATGAAATAGCTTGGAGACACACTAAATCTCTGAAGTATCCTGCACTTTTCAGCCAATCAGAAACACAATTTGCCTGTCAATCCTTTTGCATGTTTGGGTTTTCTGGCATGGAATTGGCTGTCGTGTCTTTGGTGGTTGTAGTGATGGGACTAGTCTAATTAAGTGGCTAATCTGGCGAAGTTAGCAAAATGGTGGAAATGGCTCACAGCGTCTTTCAATGCTGAAGTAGCATGGCATTGCAGTCTGGCAAACATGGCATCAGAGAGAGAGAGAGAGAGAGAGAGAGAGAGAGAGAGAGAGAGAGGGGGGTAAGGTAACAAAGCATTTTCTCTCCTTTCCTACGTCATGTTTTTCTGCTAAAAAGTACGCAATAGAGGTCCAACAGTTGGCCTATTAACTGTTATTGGCCTATTATGGCCTCTCACAGTCATCCCAATGTGTGCCTTTTTCGTCATTGTAGTAGATGTTTTACTAACAAAATAGCTCTTGTGAATTTTTCACCAAGTTATAGCTTGGACTCTCATGTGACAGTCGCACCGTTAGCGTCAGACCAAAGGTCGTTCTGTGTTTTTCTGTCCCACTCATTCCCCTCAAAATGGCTCTTCGAGACAACGTCCTGCTTTTCCTTTGCATTTTAAATCCATTTGCCAATGCCCTCTACAAGCAGTGGATCCCAGACACCAACTTTGAGAACGCAACCAACTGGGATAAAGGCTCTGTTCCCTGCGGGAATGACCAAGTGGTGTTTCTAGCTCAGAGGAAAGTATCAGTGTACGTGGAAACATCTCACACTCTCACTGGGATGAGTTTGCCGGTGGATGGACAGCTGATCCTGGCGTCTGGTTCTGGGTTTTCCGTGAGAGAAGGAGGAGATCCCGGATGTGGAACTGGAGTCACGGCACAGTTTAAAGACCCTGAGTCTCTGAAGTGGTTCGACCCGTCACTATGGTTAGCCGCGACTTCTATCGACGACCTGCATGGAGGAACATATCAGTTTTCCGTCCACGAGGAGAGTGTCCCGTGCCAGTTTGACGACGTCATGTTTCGAGAGGCGACCTCTTTCCGTGTGGACGTTTCATGTGATCATGATGTGCCGGTGAAAAGCGTGTCTGTTCTTGGGAAGAAGTTCACCAGCAGCTCTGAGTTTTCCCAGTACTTATCATCAGATTTCGGCCGGCTCCAGTTCCACGGATCCTCACCTGTTCGCATTATCGGATCAAGTTGCGCAGATATAACGGGATGCATCTGCGATAACTCTAAGAATCGAGACGAGATCTGCGCCAACGTGAAATGCGATGCGTTGGAGTGCAAGAAACCCCTGCAACCAGTCGGACATTGTTGCGATGTCTGCGGCGCCGTCGTGGACGTTCGCTTCTCTTCGAGCTTCAACTTTGAGTCGTATCGTAAACGACTCCTGCATTACTTTCTCAGCCTGCCAAAATACAAGACTGTAAAGATGGCCATGTCGAAAGTTTCAAAGGAGCAAAGCCTGCTAGCGTTGATTCCTTTCGGATCCACCCAGGAGATACAGGTGCTGCTTCTGGATGGGGAAACGGGTCAAGACGCCGGGAATCTCGCTGAAAGTCTCGCTCGTGAGATAGTGAAGGATGTGCACACCCACGGATCGAACCTCGGCATCACCAGTGCAGATTTCCAGGCGTCATCGGGAGCGAGTAGCGGTGAAATTGCGGGAAACAGTGCGCCGGGGGTGGTGGTCGGAGCCGTTCTGGGATCCCTGATCGGACTGGGTTTACTTGCAGGCGTTGTTCTCCTCTATCGGCGTGGCTTTGTTACGATGCCCAGAATGCCTAGCATCCCCTCTTTCAGCAAATGGAGGAACAGCAGTGACGTTGGGGAGCTTGGTGGCGCATTAGACCGGGGCTACGACAACCCAATGTTCGACAAGCCGACATTGATGCCAGAAGTACCTGGGCTGTACGGGACAGAAATGGTGAACTCAGTGACCCTAACCCAGTCGGGAGTGCATTTCGTAAATCCTGTTTACGATGAAACTGATTTCAATGCATGAATGGTGTGGTTTCAGCAAATCTGATTGTGGATGTAATGAGAAAAAAAATACAGATTCTGAATATGACTTAATTTGCAGACTTGAATCAGTAACCAAATGAAAATGTACCCTAGTGGAAAAAACCAAAACGTATTTAAAATACTAAGTACACTACAAATCCATTCACATGTTGACTGATATTATAACTAAACTTTATTTGGAGCACTTCTTTATTGAACTTTTCGTAATATCAAGCCTAAAATATGTTAAATATCACCATTAGTAAGGATAGTATGATAGCTCACAATCAATATACTTAAGTATATTTTTAGTTGGACTTCAGCACTATTTCCGGATAGTACAAAAATATGTAAATGTATTTGTAGTATACTTAGCATAAAATAAATGTATTTCAAATAAATAAATTTAAATTCACTCACACTAAATTTTCTGTACTTTCATACCACACTATGACATTTCTCGTGATTAAAAATAAATAAATAAAAGCATGGTTATTTGACATTTTTGGCTATAATATTGTGTTATATTACTCTTTTAAATCAGGTTTAGATATTGTGTTGGTTTAACTCGAACCTGCATTCGAATTAATGAATAAATAAATAAATAAATAATACGATGGGCAATTGCCAGTGTTTATATAAAATAATTCCATTTGAAGTTTGTTGCCACAACACTTACCTTCCAAGTATCAAAGAAAACTCTCCTCAGCAGAAGCCAGTAAACAAACAAGTTATTAATATCAGGTTAAACCTCAGATTTTGAGGTGATCTGTCTGTGCTTATGACAACATAATATTCGCTATTATTATTCCATTGCAGGCTCTTTAGTTTTGTGTTGGCGTCTAGTCCTTTAGTTGTTTTATTCCTGGCCCTGGAGAACCACAGTTGCATATTTTTATGTTTTATGTTATCTTTCATAATTTCATAAGGCTCTCTTTTAACGAGCTGATTATCTGAATCTGGTCAAATTGTTAAAGAAAGACATACAGATACAACATGTTCAGAATAGGATTAAAAATACATTTAAATCACCAGTACAAAGATGGTTTTCTAAAGAACCAGAAAGGAATAATCTAAAGATTATTATAAAATGATACCCTGTTTAGCTCGTATTAGGAGTGTAGTTCTTATTGGTGATGTCTATATGTATTATATACTGTATATTTAGCATAATTATTATCCTGTTGGGGTCATTGAGGTTATTGCTCATAACATTTAACATATTACTCATAATAATTTTGTTCGTTTTTACTGTCATCATAACATTTATAGCCTTTTCATTTGGGAGGTATCATTAATACTAACCAAAATGACTATTTTGCACTTAACACATTAATCAAACCTTTACAAACATTCAGACAAACAAAACCACGCTTCACAAAAATTGCAAGTTTATGAATTTGTTTAATAGTTACATACCAGCAAATGTCATTAAAAATAAAGTTGATGTAAGCGTTATAAAACATGGCTGTAAATGCTGTTATAAATATTGAAGGAAGACATCATGTAATAATTCAATCACATGGAGTTTAACGTGCTGTACTGCAGACCTGTGCATGAACCATACAGTTTACTGACAATATACTTCAAAAACTGCTGTCGTGATAAAGCGAAACGACTCGTGTTAATGAGTTCTGCAAGTTAAAGCTCCGGGATCAACAAAGGGCTCTCAGTGTAGGCCAACTCAACCATGCATCACACAACTCGTCCTCATCTCCCTCCTGTTTCAAAAAACGTGTTATGGCTAGATACATGTAAACATTATGTGTAACTTAATGTGAGGGTGAAGACAAACGCTTTTCTCCTACAACAGCAACACTCATAATCAGATTGTATTAATACATGTATTCAAATCTCCCTGTGTGTGTAAATAAAAAGACTAGCAAAGCTACACTTACCACCATGCACAGATCTTTGCATGTCTAACAAAGAATTATGAAACATTTGTCAAATTATATAAACAAAGTTATGTCTTAAATGACATTTTGTATAGAAATGTGTAGGCACTGAGAAATATGCCCCACGGGGGCAGAAATATTGTAAGACTAAGAGAGCGTGTAATGAGATGTGACCTCATTTCCACTCTCTTTATTTGCCACATAACACGTGATAACCATTAAATTTGAACTTAATTACAGGTTTATGCTTATTGCGCCATTTGTGTCAGTTACAGAGGTAATATAGTCATTCAGCTATTTCAACATTGATCTACAATAAACCTTTACTATAAAAGTTGAATTGCATTATTACATTATTACTCTTTCTTCATACGACAGGCTGTTTTTTTTTTTCCTGCCTGATTTTGAGATTATTTAGGCCAAGGGCGTTCAATCCTGCTCCATTTCCCTATTTAAACACACCTGAACTAGCTAAAATCAGTTGGGATTGCTAGAAACTTCCGGGCGGGTGTTTTCAGGCGTATCCAGATCTTTCGATTGAAATGGTGAACACCTAATGACTAATGATCTTTGCAACAGAAGTGAATCAATCAAAAACTAACTTTAGCTGGACAATAACTTCATTCTAGAGCTGCTGTAAAGACAAAACAATCTCTGTTACTTTAATTTCCTATTATCAATGTAAAGCTGCTTTGAAACTAAATGAAGGTGACTTGACTTTTGGTGTAACAGAAGCAGACTAGTAAGAGCTGTGCATGAAAACATCACTCCCCTGGTCTCAAGAGGCCAACTAGCAACTGGGTTTTTTTAGCATCCTTGTTAGCACGCCCGCCTCATGCCATAGACGCCACTTCGAATACCACTTGAATTGGGTCGAGTAAGACCGGTTACATTGGCGCTAAACTCTGCAGGAACGTGAGCGTCCAGGAGCAGGATTGACCACTCTAAGGGGCTGTTTACACGACATTGTTTTCAACTAAAAACGTAAAACCTTTTATGCGTTTTGGCCGTTCGTTTACACGTTAACCGGTGCCTGAAAACGCAAACTTTTGAAAATGGGTTTCAAAGTGCAAGTTTCAGAAAACGATCTCTGTGTACAATGACAAAAACGCGAATCTCTGAAGACGATGACGTCATGCACATGCGTATTACGTGTTAAGTCTACAGTGTTTCATCGCCATCTACTGGCCTGGCAGCAGAATACAACGCTTTCAGCCGTTTTTGCAGATCCGTGGGAATGGGGATCGTTTTTGGTGTCGTCTGAATGCCGAAAACTCAAAGGAAAAACTTCTCTGTTTTAAGAGAAGTTCTCTGCATATCATTGTCATGTAAACGCACCCTTAGTTTAGGCGTATGTTGCTTTAGCACCTCTGCTGTATTGTTTCTTCATTGGCCAAATGTTGAAAAAGTAACTTTTCCCATCTTCAAAAAAAGAAAAAGAAAGGTACAATGGTTCTGTAAACTCTTACCAATTCTTCAACTTTAAACATTCATTGAGGTAAAAACAGACTGTAATGGAGGAACTTCACAACTCAGTGTCTTCTATGCAACCTGGCTCCTCGATGGCCTCAAGTCGGCGCTGGCATGCGTCTATGATCTTCTTTCGGGGTCCCAACGGGATGTGAATGCTCTTGAGGTCGGCATCGGAGCACAGCAACAAGGCATCCAGGTCGATCTTTTCTCTTTTGAAGATGGGAATGAACTCGTTCATGTTCTGTGTGGCCAGGAACACTTCCAGTGGGCTTGTTTCCGGCTCGTCATCGTCATCCAGTCCAAGCTCAACCTCGTCCCAAGGCAGCTCTTGCACGTTCCTCTCTTGCAAGCTATGGGCGCTACCAATGCTATCGTCATCTAAACTGGGCGCGCGATGCATTCGACTGCGAAGGCGTACATTATCGACCCGGTCGCTGCCTGCAAGACTGCCTTCATCTCTGCTACCAATGCCAAAAAGTCCACCGCTAACGTAGTTTCGCCGGAAAACCATGGTTCCTAAACCGGGGCGGTTAAAGAGCGAGTCGTGTCCCGAGTCGGTGCTAATCTCTGAGTAGTCCACATCTTGACCATGTAGGTCTGGTTCACTGATGGCACGCGAGACGGCGTCGTCATTGTCGTTGGGGAACATGTCGCGTATGTTGCGACGAGACCGGTCCTTAGGGTTGACGTACGTGCCCTGCTTCAGAAACATGACGTCGTTGCCTAGTTGTAGGCCGGACAAGGAGCGGACACTCTTCCTGCCATCTTCGTAAATCTTGAATGTCCCGTCACCTTGCTTCTTCTTGTCAAGCTTCCTCTGGATTTTAGTTTTGCCCCTGGCTGTGGCGTGGAGAGTAGCCTAGAGCGACAAAGTTGCAAAAGTGTTCAAAATCTGCTTCAGTGACTATGGCTTGCAACTAACATCAAATATTCATAGTCCCCCTGTAGTCAATAATCATATCCCTTAAAAACTCCTCTTTGATCACCACATCAATGACATATTTCAATATGTCTTCAAATATCTTGAATGTAACTCGACACCCTTGCCTCCTTTAGTATGGCCTCTCTTTACAACGTCAGACACGTAACGGCAATTAATATGAAACGCTTTGAACAACTCGGAACGTCAGTGGAGAAAGACATAGTATCATAACACCATTAACATCATAACATACACATCATACACTCGCCATATTGCTAAATCTACACGATTTTTCATATCAACAGAAAGACATAACTTGGCATCTCTCGAGACTCCTATGCTAGTTGAGGATATGCAAAAGCCCGCTGGCACTTTGATGTGATTGGCTACAAGCTAGTTTGTGACGTCACAAAAACGCCAGCGATTTTTGTATTTGGATTCATGTATTTTTAGCAAAAAAAAGCCTTGGTTAGAAAGTATAATATCTACAAAATGCGTTAAAATGAAAGCTACGGCTTTTTAGACAATTCATTTTGCTTATGTTTCAGGCTCATATTGGCTGAGATATACTGAGTGTCTGAATTACCATGTTAAATTAAGCTGGCGTTGTTGTCTAATAGCATTGCATACTGACAGAATAGGTCAATTTTGAAGAAATAACATGGTATGAAAATCCTAGAGCCAGTTTCACTGGGTTTCAGCCAAAGGCACATTGGTTACAAGGTAGTTTGTGACGTCAAAAACACCAGCGATTTCAAACCCTGTTTTTGAGACTGTCTTTGGTTCACTGCAGTTTCGACGGCATTCAACTCGGTAATGCTGTCGACTTGTGAATTTACTAATTATTTGTCTTCAAGCACATTAAAAACATCACATAGACATATAAACAACATTAAAAGCTGGATTTTCACCACAGGGGGACTTTTTAACTATTGGAAATCGATAGACTAGAGCGACAAAGTTGGCAAAAGGGTAAAAAGTGACTGGCTTGGAACTATCGAAGAGCGATCTGAGAGTTTCTGACCTGGGAGTATGGCACATTAGTGGCGGTGTTGAAGTGGTGTAACTTGCGACTCAAGGTGCTGCTGGCGTAGCTGGAGAAGCTCATGGCGTCCGAGACTGATGCTTCGTTTGTCTCTCTCTGAAACTTGCGCTCCATTCGCCGCCGGTGCTTCTGCTGCAGTTTAACACACTCCTTGATGCGCCGTTCGGCATCACGGAAAGCCCGGTCCTTCAGTTTGCTCACCAGCTTGGGGTTGAGCGCCGTCTGCTTGGCAGCGATGGAGTCCAGATAGCGCACACTATCCATGTGGTTCTTGGTGGCGGCCATGTCCAAAGGCGTGTGGTAATCGTTGTCCAGGCACCACACATTGGCACCAAACGACACCAGGAAGGACAGGCAGTTGAGATGGCCATTGGAGGCGGCCAGGTGGAGTGGCGTGTTCCCCCATATGTCACACTTGTCTGGGTTCCCCCTGAAAGTAGAGGCGTGATAGAGATCCATATCAGGTGTGGCATTTAACGGTGACCTTTATGAAACTAGTAATGCTGTTACTTGAGATCTACCTTCCTGCCAAGTTCAGCTCCAACCCTGATCAAACACAACTGAACCAGATAATTACGATCTTCAGGAGCGCTTGATAATTACAGACTGAACTCTGCAGGTAGTTGATCTCCAGGACCAGGATTGGGCACCAATGAGGTTATGTACAGGGTTTGAAATTACCCTTTTTCAGTCACCAGCCAATTTGGCTACTTAATTTTTAAGTTAACGGCCATTCAGAACTTCTACTAGCCAAAAACAAAAAAGGAAGAAGAAATGAACCAGATTGACTACATCACAGCTTATATATTATATATATTTTCTAAACTATAGTGACAGATAATGTGAGAAATGCCGATATATAGGCCTACAGTCAAAACTAATTTTATTCAGACACACACCTTCAACATTTCTCACATTCGCTATAGTTTAGAAAATGGTAATAAAACATGAGAAGAACTCCGTCCTTCTGTTTGACTGTAGGTTATATAATCTAAGTGATATTTAATACATAACATGGCAACATAATTCACACTTTCATGTGTTAGTGTGAAACTGGATAACACTGTCTTTGTCACTTGTGTTATACCCTAATAATAGCTGAGACCACACTGGAAATCACATGATTTTTTGATTATGTTTTCAGCACTGGCTCGTCATCCATGAAGGCCAGTAAATAATGCATCGCTCTATGAAACCGAAACCGGAGCACATTTGGTCTCCAAAATCATCAAATGTCATATAATCGGGCAAACAAATGTGTTACACATCGCAACACAACCTCATAAAGCAAATCTTAGTATGTTTTCTTATATAAGCCAGTAATCTTCTCTGCAGAGCACTGGATCTGTAACGCGATCTCCTTCCTGAATAAGAGTAACTCATAGGTGTCTCCTTACTAGGGGGAATGATAGTTGCTCAGGTGATGTCACACTAAATTCCTGCATAACCGCCGGCCTGATCAACAAAGAAGCCACCGCATGCCATAAGAAACTACATATTATTCACTATTCAATCCAGAAAATAGCACACAATTATTCAAATCTGGCTTGAAATATCTACAAACACATACACAGTACAACTGTCTCAATTTTGATGTGATCACACATTTCCATTAGCATTAGGGCGGCATGGATGTAATAAGTGCTTGCTATAAATGATACACGTTGCATTATGACTTCTCATTCTCCCTCAGGTGATTTATATTATCAAGCAGTCAATAAGGCTAAAATCGTATAATTTTGCATTATGACTCAATACAATAGAGGTTTATTATGAAATTGAAGAGTTCAGATGCAAAAGCCTCTAAATGCCATTTGAAATTTTCTTCTTTAATGATGATTTTTTATCAAACTTGTATATTTAAGTTCAGTAATTTCACTTAAATAACAATTAATAGGTAATTATCATTGCCATTTAAGTGAAATCACTGAACTTAAATATACAAGTTTGATAAAAATCATCATTAAAGAAGAAAATTTCAAATGGCATTTAGAGGCTTTTGCATCTGAACTCTTCGCATGTTGATCAGGTTGATCCAATCGGATGCATTACATGATAATTGGATTGCTTGTAACTAAACTTGTAACTGACCTTATATTTTGGGCAGTAAAACCCCTCCTAGACAACTTAAAAATGCTGGTTTTAGAGTTTGAGTTGTTTTATGTCTTCTTCTTGAACTGAGTTTTTCAAACTTATACTTATATTTAACAAGTATCAATGCATTATAGTGAAAACTCAAATCGTATGTATAATATATGAATTGTGGAGTGCTAATTTTCCCAATACAGCTAAACTGCATCTCTATAAAGTAGCGCTGGCTGAGCCTGGTTAATATTGAATGGGTGGACAGGTGAAGCCTTGCAGTGATGCATTATGGATGAGAAAAGCTGCAAGGTTTTCACAGTTAGCAAAGGGAGCTGTGCGCTGTACTGGGTCAAGCCAGAATTCGGATTATGACCCGCTAACCCTGCTTGACCTTGATTTTTTTGCATGCCAATACTTTTATTATCCTATAAAATAAGATACCCTTATCTGAAACAGTGAGTTATGAACTGTCATTTTTACCCCACTAACACTGTCAGACTATAAGATGTATGACAGCCAGAGCATTATAAACGTACGGGAACAGCATTATAAGCGTACGGGAACAGCATTATAAACGTACGGGAACAGCATTATAAACGTAAGATGTATGACAGCCAGAGCATTGTAAACGTACGGGAACATCTCCTAACAAATGACTGCTGTATGATTCCCGCCACCCATAAATGTCTATTTTTACGGTCATTACTATTTTTGGGGTAATTTTACTGTCCCTATTTCTTCTAATAGCATGGGTCGCACAGTGTTCTCATGTACTGCAATGCACTGATGACTTCTCGAAAACCTTTTTTCTGAGCGTTATCGTGGGAACTCATGTTTTATGCTTTGACTTAATCACTACAGAGAAGAAACACCCAGATGAAGGGATTAATTATGTGTACATTGGCATACGTTGGCTCTAATGCAGAAATGTGACGCTTGCTTTGCTTCATGTGGAGATCACAGTGGCTTTCAACGGTCAAAGGGTCCGATTATCCATTCAGGACTGGGAGAACTTCTGACAATTAAGAGCTTTTATAAAGGGCCACAAGCAAACCAGGTCAGCTCTAATGAAAGCTTTTGTGTGTTTCGCTTTTATCTGCCTTCTATCGGCATTAACAGAGTGGCCTTCGATCAAATCATGTAGAATGCATCCTGATAAAACAACTCAGATGACACAACAGGGCAGTATATCTGTCTTAAAGTGCGTTCAAGCTATACATTTTTAATCAGCCCATACATTAATAGGGAATCGAACCTATGACCTTGGTGTTGCTAATGGCATGCTCTCCGAGCTACAGGAACACAAAAACATGAGAAAAAAACAGTAATAAATAGGCCTACCACTACAAAACCAGATCACTAGACCTACAGGAAAAAACAGCATAAAAATACCACTACAAAAAACCAATCACTAGAACAACAGAAAAACACCAGTACAAAACCCACTAAATATCTGACTCTTAAAACTGGCATTTTGTTGATGTAATCAAATGTAGTAAGTGTTTATATGTAGACTTAGTTTATATAACCAGATGTACATTTTCTGGTAACTGGTGGTAAACACTTTACAATAAGGTTAATTAGTTAACATTAACATGAACTAACCATGTAGTATTTATTAATCATTTTTAAACATCACCTAATAAAAAATACAGATGTTCATAGTTGGTTCAGATTTTAATAAAGTATTGGTAAACGTTGAAATTAACAATGCTGTATAAGTGCAGTTCATTATTACTTATCATGCAGTTAACAAAAAAACCTTACAGTAAAGTGTTTCCGGGTGATTTATAAAACGTTACAGTGAACAACCCTAACCATTTATGGTGTCATGTTGACCTCAGTAATGGCCTCTGCAAACTGAAATGTTACATAAACAACCATTAACATCAGAAGAACACATTTAAGGAAGTAGATTGGAGATTTGAGAACTGCACACCCAATTAACTCAATAAAATCATCAAGCGTTGTGCAGAATTATCTGGTGCTGATAATATTAACGTGGCCAATAATTCCCGCGCGGCGCGCGCAAACATGCGGGTTACAGAGTTAAGTTACGAGCAAACCCAGCTCGTGCATGCGACTGTAAATGCGGGGCATTACCCTCTCGCGACGATCATCCGCAGCGCGTCGAGGTTGCCGTGGTACGCGGCCCATAGCGTGGGTGTCATGCCATCCTCGTCCGGCGCGTTCAGGTCCTTGCGCGTCGCTTCCTTTAGCAGGTCGAGGTAGCCATCCCGAGCTGCCTTGTGGTATTTGTCATTCATGGTGATCTCGAACCTCAGCCTCCATCACTCTTCCACTCTTGCACTCCTCCACGCGCGCGTTGTGCTTCAGGAATGAACCCGTGTTGCGCGCTCGAGACGCGCGTAGTTTCCAAGGACACCTCGGACGCGCGCGCTGCTCGCGAGGGTGTGGCTTCGGATCTTTTCCTATGAAAGACTTTCGGTAACACTTTATTTTGATGGTCCCTTAGTTTAGAACATTCTGTTGACTTTGCATTAACATCTCATTAGAGTATTAGTAGACTCTCTGCTTAATAACTCTTTATTTTGATGATCCTGACTATAAGTGACTTTGGAATTGTAACTTATTCTAACCCCAACCGTACCAGTCTATTAATACTCGACTAATACTCTAATGAGAGTTAGTCTGAAGTTACTTATAGTCAACATAATGTGTTTAAGGGACCATCATAATAAAGTTAAACTAGATTTTTTTTTTTTTTTTTTTTGTATATTAATAAGCCGCATTAAGCAAAACTATTGTTCTTTAATTAGGTTATTAATACAATTAAAGTGGCCCATAAAACGTAAAAAGTGCAAGTGATGCAAATCTAGTTTTAGTGATTTTTGGGATTCAAAATAAAACATAATCTGATACATACATAACACACATATTCACACATCAAACAGCCTTGAGCAAAGCTATTTTGATAAGTCAAGTATTATACAGCACTCTTTACACTACAGAGTGTTTCAAAGCAGCTTAAAACAGTGATAACAGGAAAATATAATGCAAATAAGATTGTTTCCAGAAAATGGTGTCACAGTCCAGCAAGTTAAAAAGTCTAGGCTAGGGTTTAAGGCTGTACAATCCAGTTTGGTTCAGAAACCCATTAACAACAGGGACGTGCACAGGAATTTTGAGGGGCAGTTGCTCTGACCTGAAAAAAGGGCACCCCCCTCCCTCCTCCCCCCTCACGGGCTATATGAAGGAATATATTCAGTTGAATTTGTCCCCTTCCAAATTGCCTTATCTGGCCGTGTTTATGTCCAAACGCAATGCCTCATCTTATGGTCTTATAATTATTTATAAAGATTGCAAAATTTCAGAGATGAGACAAATGAGCAAAAGAGTTCTTCATATTGTTGTTTATTGTTTTTTAAATTATTATTATTTATTTATTTGAAAAGAAATAATCTGGATTGAATGGAAAAAACTCGAAAAAATAAAAAAACGCTTAGATTTCAGGAAAAAATACAATTCTTTTTTTTGCCAATCCTGACCTCCCCCTGGGGCCCTAAGCAAAATTCTGCTAAGGGGCCCTCTACCTGATCTGTGATGCCGTGAGCCATGTAAACCATTTGCCATTGCCACTCAATACCTCCCAATACAATCCTCCCTCCTTTAAACAAAACAGTCAAAGAATAAGTACAACAATATAGAACAGAATGAGGTTCAAACAAACAATATTAACAAGTGAATATTAACGTAAACATAAACAAGAAGAAAATAATAAAGTACAACCCTGAACTTTGGCTTTTGGGATTAACTTTGGTTCACTCCTGGGTATTTTCGGAATCAGTAGCCTATGATTTTTATTTAATTTTTTTTAAATCAAGGCGGAGTCTGTCGAAGAGGAGGGCGTGACGACGCAGAATACCCAAGTCATTTACGAAAGCCATGTGTAATATCTTAAACTAAGGGTAATGAGCTCGCTATGCATTCTCTTGGGGAAAGAAAAAAGGTCAAGATTGGATTTTCTTAGAAGTTGCATTTGTGTTAGTGTGAATCTCTCAAAACTTAAAAAAACATAAGCAGGAAAAGAAGAGAAAAGAACACCTTAAATCTGTGAAGATCTCATCAGAGGAGGATTAAACAACTCCACAAACAGCATTACCAGCTTCACTTATTATTAACCAGACTGACTTTATTTCTGTCAGACTTCTACAAACGTTTTATTGAGAATTAACAGAGGTGTAAGTGTTTCATAAGTCACCATAATGGTGGGGGTGCACGATATATCGGCCACCATATCGGTATCTGCCGATATTTGCTCATTTTTATGTTATCGTTATGGGCCCGATAATAAAATTTGGCTGATATATTAAAGCTGATAAATAATAAACTATTTCCTTCAACACTTGACACCTGAGACACTTAAGATGCGCACTGTTCAACATGATTGATTTTAATTGCTTGAAATATGATTGGAATCAAAAAGGAAAATATAGTTAAGTGCAAAATGTGCTGTCATATCGGCTACATGAAATTATAATGAGAACATTACAATGATTACTGATTTGCAATCAGGCTTTCAAAAATTATATAAAAATTGGATTTAGATTTATCGGCCGATATATCGGTTATCGGCTTTCAAACATAAAGATTTATCGGTTATCGGTATCGGCCAAAATGTTCATATCGGTGCATCCCTACATAATGGTGATTAGTGTTTCCATTAATCTATAGTGAAACACACTATGATTTTTCTTCAAAAGCAGATACGTTTAACCGTCCACGATCAAAAAGGGATGGCACACCCCTAGTTTAAGTTTAGGTTGCTGGCGCTCATGCTTCGTACACGCCACCAAATCGGCCAGGCTCTTCGGCAGTAATATTCATATCTGCCGATGATGGTCAATTTAAGCTTTTATATGCCGATGTTGTCCCGATATCATCTTGCATCCCTGGTTTCAAACCTTTTTTGTGTTTAAAGTGGGTTCATGCTCTTGTTTTGATATTTTGCTATGAAAATATTGTTTTCATATCTTTCATTTGTAGCTTTATTGGCCATATATTCATATGTTTTAACATGAAATTCTGACGCACATTAAATTAGACGTCACTTTCCTCATATTAATGTTGTTTACAGTTCTACCTTTAAATGCAAGGAATTATTATTATATAACCTCCAGGCATTGACACCTGCATTAATAATTGCATTATGTTATTTATGGGGTTTACGGTGTTTATTTCACGATGTCCCATTACTGTGGCATTATCATACACCACTCATGTTTGAAGATTTATTGTTTAATTGCATTGTGTCCTAGATGTTCATTTTTTGTCTAATAATTCGTTGTGTCTGACAGGTTGCAGGTCCTTCAGCGTTATGCAGTAAATCATTGTGTCGGCAAGCGTGTATAAGTGCAATGAAGTGGCACGCTCCTCAGAAGGCCAGCGGTTTCTACTCGTGGTAAGTGGAGGACACTGACAGTAATAACTTGTAAATGCTTGTTTAATGCATCTGCTGATTGAATAAATGTGCCAAAATATTGTTGGTTTAACTTAAAAAAATTAGGTAACCTGGTTGCCTTAAAAATGTAAGTTGATTGAACTGGAAAAAGTTAATACAAAGAAGGAGATTAATTTAATAAATAATAAGTTATCTGAACTAAATAAATTATTTAAGTTGATTTGACAAAAGAAAAAAAATGTTGTGATAACAAATCTTGAAAATATTTTTTACAGTTGCACTGTAAAAAAAAGTACAATCAACTTGAATGTTTAAGTCATTTCAACTTAAATGACATTAATCTGACTTAAAGAAATTGAGTTGAAACTTGTACTGTTTAAAAAAAAGTTGAAAATTGCAAACTTTTTTGATGAGTTAAAGCACTGTAAAAACACTAAGGTTCATTAGTTAACATTAATTAGTTAACTACAGTGTTTATTTACATTATTTATTAATCTTTGTTAATGTTAGTTAATAAAAGTACAGCTGTTTGTTCACACATTATTAAATAATGTTTTACAAATACAACTTTGATTTTAAAAATTTATTAGTAAATGTTTAAATTAACACTAATTAAGATTAATAAAAGCTGTAGAAGTATTGGTTATTCATGTTAATGAACCTTATTGTAAAGTGTTACTGTAATCTCCTATTATCACAGTAAACCTGCTCTGAAACAATATATATACATATATATATGTTGTTAAAAGCACTATAAATAGGAAGGTGACTTGACCGCACAGGCATGTTTTCATAACTTATTGTTCTTTGTTTTGTGTGTGTGTGTGTGTGTGTGTGTGCGTGTGTGTGTGTACACCTTGAAATGCTTTTGAATGTCACATAGAATAAAAGTGCCTGTTAATTGATTAAATGTGAATATATCAATAGCAACTACACAAGCATTAATAATAAATCTGCTTTAAATATTGTTGCATGCTGTTAACAATAATAATCGCCATTAATGCATGGCGCTTATGGTGTCACAAAAGATACAATGGCACAATTAATCTCAAATTGTACGACTGCCCTCAAACAAAGATACTGGGTGAGGCTAGGCATTATCGCACGGATCCCGAAAAGCCGAGTAAATAAAGCCTTGATATTTTGAAAACAGAGATGACTGAGGTAAATGAAAGCGTAATATTTGTTGATGACTCAGAGCTGAGGGTGTCTGATCAGAACTTCACGTTTCCTCCGTCACCATACACACCGAGAGAGTGGAGGTGGCTCAGGTAGCTCTTGTTAAACACTGTTATCACAATAGCTGAGGGCCATTGGCTGGCCGTGCTCCAGGACAAGCAAAGGTGAAATCCTTCTCGATTCCCAATTCTGTCAGGTCAGATTTGAGGATGCAGGTCACCTTCCGATGAGGAGACCGACGCAGGACTAGACGTAAGCACAAGAGAGGGGAGGAGATTGGTTAGATGCGGGTTCAAGTATATATATACAGTACAGCCTGAGGAAGCTAGACTCCTTCTAATGCTTCTCCAAATCCAGAAGACTCTTTGCAACTCGGACTCAATTGTAACCTTACTTGTGTTTTTTTTATGGACAGCTCTTCTAACTCAATCAACATGACGACCAAGGAAGACCTTGAAGCCATCGAGAACCAGATATCCACCATCCAGGTTAGTACCAATGATCGTGATTTTTTTTTTTTTTTTACGGTAAAATACTGTAAAAATGATTTTAAATAAAAAAAATTATGGTGGAAAAACTGTAAATTGGTTAACAGAAAGTTTCTGCACTAGATACGGTGAATAACTGTACATTTACAATTTTACGGTAAACTATCGTTAAATTTACACTTTTTGGAAGTGAAAAAAAAGACATTGTACAATTTACAGTAAAAAAAACGTGCGCATGCGCAACACTTCACATTTTGATGTATTTTTGTTGAAACAACTGTTTTTCATCGTTTTTTCTAATCAGCTACGGACATTAGGGTTTTATGTTACAAATTAAATGTTGTTAAATTAATGTTTATTCCATGATGGCGTGTGTGATTTGATTGAGTACGTGATCGCCACTGTGATTGGTTGTTGTCAGTGTATCACAATGGTAAAAAACAGATATTAGAACTTCAATAGATCGATAAATTAACATTATATCAGCTATTGAAATACGTTTATTTACTGTAAATTCAAGTTAAGTTTTTTTTTTTTACGGTAAATTTCTGGCAGTCGTTTTTTTTACCGTAAATTTAACAGATTTTTCTTTTTTTGACAGTGCTCCAATGGAGACACGGCCGGCCCGGTTCTTGCCCATGGCAGGTTAAAAACAGTAGAGAAGGGGCGAAACTGGGGATGGCTTCTGTCGGGGTTCATCTCCCTAAATATCCTACTCCTGGGAATCGCCATAGTGAGCGGGAGTGTCTTCAACAAGGTCCAGATCTCTTCTTCACATCTTCTGATTTTCCTCATCTTACTCGTCATCCTCACCACCGTTTGGATGGTTTACTACAAAGTCCACACTTCTCGGGTGCATCAAGCAGTGCTGTATAAAGACAGTCATGCTGGTCCGGTTTGGCTGAGAGGTAAGACTCCATTCGTACGATCAAATCCGGTTCTGACAAGCAACGTTGAATGGAATCAAAGATTTCAGAAAGAACTTTTGCGTTGTTATTTCGGAATAATTATTGCTCCCAAATTTGTATAAATGTTACCGGTAGTCACTGTATGAAGAGTTTTTAGAATTTAATATGTCACAGTTTACTTTATTTTGCTGATACACACAAATATAAAAAATGATATCTAGCGTCTGAATAAGGATTGGTTGGGCTGTATAATCTACGAGCTTATATTGTGCGTGTGTCTTCATCAGCTGGACTGGTTCTGTTTGGCGTCTGCAGTGTAATCATGGATATTTTCAAGATCATGTATTACGTGGGTCGAATGCACTGCGAGTCCCCGGTGAAAGTCGTGTTCCCTGCTGTGCAAGCTCTGTTTGTCATCGTCCAGGTGTGAAAACCCTTTCCTGCTCTTTTAGGTTATTCGTTCTTGTGTTTATAGATTTTTTAAATAATACCCTCTTCCATATTCCAGACATACGTCCTCTGGGTCCACGCAAAAGACTGCGTACAGATACAGCAAAACATCACACGGTGAGTCCTTGCACTGGAAAAATAACTAACTTGAAGGATTTACTTGATAAAAAACACATTTATAAACATATTTTTTTCTGTATAACCTGTTATTATCAAGTAAAACAGATTTACTATTGAACTTGGCATTCATTTTGTAATTAAGTTAATATTACTTAATTATATTTCATTTCACATATAGAATTAAGTAGCATCTACTTAACTAAGTTTAACAAATTTAACTCGAACAATACAACACTGAATTAAACTATACTTTTAAAGTGTATGTTTTACTTAGAAACATCTAAGGTAATAATAATACAACAGATATTGTGTAACTTCCATATTGTATCTACATAATAGAAGACGTGACATGGCACTTCTAGACTTGGTACACAATGACGGTCGTTTTTAAGTGTCAACCTTATTAATTATTCATGCCCCAGTACATGATGGGAACCCCAGTATTACAAAAAGTTGAGTTGTTTTTACTTAATTTTATATCAATGATAGTTACGCTTTAATTTGAATTGAGTACTTATATAGATTACTCAATTAGATTCGATGAAGTTTTCATTCTTGCCTGAACTAAGTTTTTCATGTAGGTTTTTTCCCCCGTAACATTTAATTCGCCACAGAATCATTTTTATCAGTGTGGTTCAAGATAAAGTTTGGGTTTGTTTACAGGTTTAGTCATTTTATTAATAGGAAATGACAAATGATCACACCCTTTCAGATCCGTGAAGGAAACGATCTGTTTGTAACCCACACTTCAAGTCCAGTGACTGTAGAGTTGTGTGAAGCAATGAGCACACATTTTTTTTTAAGTTAGCTCAAGGAAATGTTTGGTTTTGATAGGAAACCTATACCCTTGTATGCTTCTTTGGAACAGGGACACTAGTGTTACTGTATAGTAATATTTACCCTCGCTTCCTTGTTGTAGATTTGGCCTGATGTTGACCCTGTCTACGAACCTCATGGTGTGGATGACGGCTGTGACTGAAGAGTCGCTCCATCAAACAGTGGCTCCAAAGGACCCTTCGTCCAACGGTTCCTCAAACAACGGCCACAGCTACAACGTCACCACAGAAGGTGCTTGACATCCGCAAATGCACACCTGCATACTTATGTGGGATAAGTAGAAAGAGCATCGAAAGTACTCTGAAAAAAAAAAAGACTGCCAGAAATTTACCGTAAAAAAATTACGGTAGCGACATTTTAGGTTTTACAGACTAAACTTAAATTGATAGTAAACAAAAAAAACGCTGAGAAAGTTAATACTAATATATAGAAGAGACAGCGTCATTCACAAAAAACACTAAACACCATCATGGAGTAAACATTAATTTAACTAAATTAAACATAAAAATGTAATGTCCATAACTGATAAGAAAAAACTATGAAGAAACGGTTATTTCAACGAAAATACATCAAAATGTGAAGTGGAAAAAAAATAAAATAATAAAAAATGTGCAGAAAATCGCGCAGGAAATTGTGCGAATGTCAATTTACGTTTTTTTTTTCACTGTCAATTATATAAGGACTTTTTCCTTTTCATTTCCAAAAACTGTAAATTTAGCGATATTTTACCGTACAATTGTACATGTACTGTTAGATTTATCACTGTTTATTACACCGTATATATTTAAAATGTGAAGTGTCGCGCAA